ATTCATAAAGGATAATGAAGCTCTGAGGTATTCAAAGACTTGCCAAAATTACATTATTTTCCAGGCCTTTATGAATGATGAGTCTCTCCTTTCTACCCCACAGGCAGCCTTCTTTTAGGATAGTTTTGGACCAGTGGTGGAATTTATTTGTGGAATCAATGCCTGAGTGGCAAGGATACTTTGGGTTTCTGTAATTTAACGAATCCATGTCTATTGGAATCAGTCTTAGTAAGAACATATATGATGACCGTGTGGTCAAGATTTTTTTGAACAGACTCCATTGCAAGTGTTTTCTTCCTGCTTTATTAAAGTAAAATTGAGAAATAAAAATTGTAGGTATTTACAGTGTATAATATGATGCTTTGGTATCTATACATTTTGAAATGATGAAATCAAGCTTATTAGCATGACCTTTTTCTCACATACCTATTTTTTTGATGAGAACTATGAAGATCTAATTTCTTATCAAACATACAATACATTATTATGAACTATAGTGACTATACTATACAATAGATCTTCAGAACATATTCATCTGAACTGAGACTTTCTATCAGTTTAACTAGCAACTCCCCTCTTTCCATGCTCACAGCCCTTGGCAACCACCATTCTACTCTCTGTTTCTGTAAGTTTGACATTTTTAGATTCCATATATAAGTGAGACCATGAATTGCAAGTGTTTCTTCCCTTTTGTTCACTAAAGGCAGACTTTCATTAAATGTAACTTGCTTGGCTAGGTAAGTGAGAGAGCAGAGCTAAGATTGAAACCTCCATCAGATTCAAATAGCTATGCTATTAATATTTGGCTTCCCAATATTTTCTTATCCAGTGAGTTCTAACACACCTACTATCAACACTTTAATTCCAAAATAGTAATCCAGTTACAAAAATCAAACTAAAAGGATCTGAAGACATTGAGTTTCTTTCTCTCCTTTTCAGCACTCGACTTGTTTAAATGCTGCATCATTAATCCTAACAGAGATCTCTTGTCTGTCTGGGCAACTTTTAAACTATTCAGGAACTATATTAACTCATTCTCTAAATTGTGGTGTCTGGATTAATGAGTTATGTTTACATGCATATAGAGTTATGTAAAATGCTGTGTATCAATAAAATACATTTACACAATTTATTAGACTTTCTTACTCTTGGGCTGTTTAATTGTTACTAGATAAATTACATTAATGATGACTTTACTCACTGTTTGAGACAATGGGAAGATGAACATCTTTGAAACATGGCTCAAAGTCATAACATTCAGTCAATCACACTGTTTATTGTTACTTTAATTTTGCTTCCGAGATGGGAAGTTATTTTTCCTGATTGTTAATCCAGTATTATAGCTGGGTCGCAACTGTCACAGATTCCCTATGCCTAAATATTTAATATATTAGGCTGGTTAAAATGCAAAATGGCTGAGCTACAGACTGCCAGCCTAAGGCCGCAGTTTGGATTTTCTTCTTTATTTTTTTCCCTGCATATTAAACATCACAGTAGGGGCCTGTTAACAATTGGAGTTTATTGGTTATGGGATTTCTGTTTTATAAGTGACAGAAAAACTCTGCACATCACTAGGTACACAGCAAAAGACTTCTATAATGAAACCTTTTTTAATTGGGTTGCATTTTATAATATCCAAAACTGACATAGGAGGAATTAGAGTTCAGACATTTACCCTCAAAATTTAGAATTGGATTAGTTACTAGTGCTACTAAATTCCTTTACCTTATTCATTTCCAAAATGATTATAAACATATATTATTATGGTAGCTCTCCTCCAAAGAGTCTAAGGCACTTTGCAAAGAATAATTCTCTCCTTGCCTCTGGGTAAAGGGGAGGAAGCTTACCAGAAACCACTCTCACCCTAGTTCTATTCCATAGTCTCAATGACCTAAGTAATATAATGGGAGATCTGGATTTCCTCACAAATTTAACAAGGTTTTTCTTCGTTCATTCTGAACCTGTGCTACCCATCTACTTAAACAGGCTCTGGAAATAATTGCTCACCTGCATCCCACAGAATACTCACTCACATTTTGTCTGGGAATGAATGGCAAGAAAACACATTATTTTTGTAATTTGTGAGTAAACCAGACTCTTCCATTTGTAGAAAATTTTGTAATTTAAATAAAATTAAATTTAAAATGTGTTTTAAAATTTAAGGAGTATGCTCCTTCCAGTGGTTAAAAAAACTGTAACTTAATTAAATGCATTCATATTCCCATTCTAGGTCTGAACAAAATTTCTAATTCTGGAACTGTCTTTCCATATGTATGTATGTATTAATATCAAGAGTGATATCTTTATTCTTGTTTTTTTTCCAGCTTGTGATTAAGTTTTACTAAAATCTCTGTCATACCTACTCCTATTGTTTAGCTGTATCTCTTTCAGCTTTCTTTCCCCTATCTTTTATAAATAAAACACGATCCTTAAGAATGAAATATTATTAAAGCTGTTTTATTAGACTGAAGGCAGCACAATATTTCATAGGCATGTCTTATAATGAATGAAATACAGCCACAGAGAGATGTCCACAAAGCAAACACATAACACAGAAACATGTATTCGAACTGAGGATGGAATGCTGAACAGGAATTCTAGTCACTGTATTTTGTAATTTTGTTTTCCCTTTTGCCACTAACCTGGGACAAATGATTTAATGTTGTGTCTTAATCTTCCATTTGTACAGTAAAACCAATATCAAACTTGTTTAAACTGCAAGATGAGAGTTGGTGCTGCACAACTTTGGCATTGGTAAATCATATTCTTAGTAAACCTGAAAATAGTCTGAATCTTGAAGCAGTTAAACCTGGGGATAGTCATTTACCTTATCCAAGAGATATATCATTCATTCGTAGAACTACACTATGAATGTCAGTGGACACATATATGACGAAATACATTGTGGACAAGTATAGGGGACAAAAGGGGGGGGGCCTAAATATACTATACCATCAAGATGATGATGTGTGCTTCAACACTAGCATTAAGTTCTACAGGAATTGAAAGGTAGAAGGCTCAAGGAATAATTTTACTATCTCACTGGCAATGTAACCAGAATTACCTGAATTGGCAAATTAAAGGAGTAAATTACCAAATATCAAATACTGCAAAAAATTAGGTAATATTGTACTTTCCAAAGATACTTCTTGATATTATATGGGTAACATGTTAGATGGCCATGTACTTTTATCTTTCAAAACAGGGACACTTTTGAGAGTGAAAGGAGATACATTAATTACTCTGGATAGCAGGTATAAACTAAGACTATCTCGGGCAATCTGGGATGCAGTGTTAAGTTTGCAACTGGACAGAGTTAGGAGACATTAACATACTTGCAAGCTAACAAATTAGCCTGCCACAGTATGTCTGTATATGTGCATACTTGTATGTGTGTATGCACATATTTATGTGTGTGTGCATGCATTTATACTCTAACAGTAATACGAGACCTCTAGTCAGATCAGAAAATAGATTTCTTATCTCTCTTAATAGAGCATCTTGTGTCAGTTCCCATACTGCTATTCCCCATGTGGCAATTTTGCGAGAGCCAGATATGCCTGCTCAGGTAGCAAAAGAGAGAACACCACATTGTGAAACTCAGAACTTACATAGGCCAGCTGGCATGCCTGCACATCCTCTTTGCTGGGGAGAAAAAGAATGAGAGAGATAGAGATAGCGATACCTTTGCTCTGGAATGTGAACCAATCCTATTTGGGGAAAAAAGAGGAAGATGTCTACTTTATCACCTTCACCACTCTGGAATGTAAATGAGTGGCTCCCAGGAGCTAAATCTCTATGGGTCTCTGGTGGTATATATCTTTAGGATTGCTATTCAGTTATCTGTTTTCATGTTTGTTTTGTTTTGTTTTTGTTTTTTGCTTTTTGTTTTTTTTGTTGAAGTCTCACTTGTCACCCAGGCTGGAGTGCAGTGGTGCATTCTTGGCTCACTGCAGGCTCCACCTCCTGGGTTCCAGCGATTCTCCTGCCACATTCTCCTGGTAGCTGGGATTACAGGCTTACACCACCACGCCTGGCTAATTTTTGTATTTTTAGTAGAGACAGGGTTTTGCCATGTTGGCCAGGCTGGTCTTGAACTCCTGATCTCAAGTGATATGCCCTCCTCAGCCTCCAAACGTGCTAGGATTACAGGCATGAGCCACTGAGCCCAGCTCCAATTATCTGTTAACCTGGGTGCCAGTGCTCTTTGGTCAGAAACATTACAGCATTTATGAAACACTGTCTACCAACAAGTCTCTCCCCCTCGTTGAATGCTGGGTGCATGACAATCTTTTAAAAACCAAAGACAGTTAGGTTAAGTTCAGAATTTTCAGTGAAACCTAATCCTTCCCTAGGTTTCTCAGATAGCCTATTTGGGGCTAATTTATGTATTTATATCTGAGTTGCATATCCAGAGTGAATCCAGTTGAATTCCCCACAGATTTCTGGGATGAGAAATGTAGGCATTAGGTCTATTTTTGGTAGTAAACTACAGAAATCTGATTTGAGCTAGCTTAAGCCCCCAAAATAGAATTTGTTATAAGGCCATTGGGTGTCAGAAAACCTAAGGGAAAGATGAGCTGAAATGAAGGCTTCTGCTTCTCTGCATCTTTTTCCTGGTGCTTCTGTCTCATTTTTCTGTCTCATTGCAGATCAGCTCCCTTTGTGTCTCTGTCTATATAGCTTAATACGTAAAATACAGAATGCTTTTGTTTCAAAAAGTCCTCACATAGCTTTTAATGCATATTTTACATATCTATCTGTCTTAGGCTTTGTGGCAAGAAACAAAGATTCAATCAAACTACTGTGGGACATTCATGTAATAACAAGAGAGGCCGTGTGGAACTTAAAAAAAGCAAAAGTCATGGGTTTCTAAACAGGCAGATTCTAATACTGAGTCAGAAGCTGGAACCGCGTTAACTTTCAGCCCCTAGGAAGTTAGATTTTGTTCATCTTTTGTGTTTCACATAATTCAGAAGTTCACCCTTCTCCTCCTACAGCTACTACTGGTGCTATCCAACAAAAGCCATGTTACCATGAGGCCGTCTTTATGAACTTTCCCACCAGAGCACCCTGGCCTCCCTTGTATGTTTCCAGCTTCTGGTAAGAACTACTCAAGTCTCCTTTCAGTGGCACCTTTAGTATTTCTGTATGGGTGAGACTCAAGGGCAGGCATGAGGTTTGAAAATTGCCTGTTTTTTTTTTTTTTTTTTTTTTTTTTAAGGAATTGAGGTGGGAAGTGATAAAGGTTATGGAGTAGGAGTGAGCCTTTTCCACAAACCAATGTCAGGTCTACAAAGGTACACATTTTTGAAAGAGAAAATCTTATTGGAATGGAAAGTGGCTGTCATCTCTGTTTGGGCAGAGCTTTTGCACTGTCCTCAAGTCATGTGCTCTCTCCCTGACCTAATCAGGAATGTCCAGAGAGGCATGGTCACATGGCATAGCTCAGGATTACGCCCATAGAAGGAGCTGCCTGGACCATATTACCCAGGGTTCCTGTATCATCACCATTGGGGTTCCTCTGATTAAAGCAGAGGGAAGCTTATTTGTAAGAGCACCAAGTCATAAACCTGAACCCCAGCTCTATGGTTTTGAAGGGTTGGTGACTGTAGACAAGTATTTCCTGTCTGTGAGGCTCCATTTTCTTGTCTTCAAGATGGAGACGTTAACCCCAATTGAGACCAGTAGTGAAGACAAAATGAGACAGTGGATATAAAAGAATTTTGTGGTTGGTAAAGCCGTGTGAAAGTAAAGGGTTAACATTTGCAGTGCTGTAAAACTTTCAGAAGACTTCAGTAATATTAATAATTAAATAGCCAACACTTCCTGAATGCTTCTGTTATAAAAACATTGTGCATATTATTTTAATTAGTCATCATAATTACTCTATGGGGTACATACTATTATTGTTTCTATTTTCAGATGACAAATCTAATGTACACGGAGGTTAAGTAACTTGCCCAAGGTCACATAGCCAGTAAGTAAAGTTAGGATTTAAACCCAGATGGTCTGGCTCCAAAACCAGTACTCTGTTCTACCTAGGTCTCTAAGACTCTAACAAAGTTTCATGGTAACAAACAGTAAAAAAATATAAATTAATCTATAAGGTAGAAAAATCAACTTCTTGTACAGTCCTAAAGAAGTAGTGATAACCTTAAGAAACTGATTTTTGTATGAGAAGAGAATCTACTTTATATACAATGAATCTGGCCAAAGTTGTGCCACTTGCTGGTTTAAAAAGATTTCTTTCATTTATTTTTTTGTTTTCACATTTATACTAGGAGGGTTTCCTTATTCTGTCAGAAATACTCATAGGTGTTAGTGCACACTGGTGGGTGAGTTTCTGGATTAAAGAAGTGCTATGCCAACAAATTAAATCTTTTGATCTTTTGTAAAGAAAATAGCTCTATAATTGTTAACTCTTTTTGTTAACAAACTCAGGTCCCTTCAAACATAAGAGATCATATAGTTGAAGTGATAATAACCCACACAAACATTGATTTTTCTGAATTCCACAGTTTTCTAATTTCCCTAGTTAATATCTTGATGTATACATATAAATTTTCTGAAAGTAACATAGAAAATTTCTACTTCTCCAAACTGGTTCCAGAATTATTATGCAGCTTTTTATAATTGAAAGGTTAGATGGACAGTTATTTTGTTCTTTTTACACTTATTTATTCATTTAAAAATTAAAATACATTTCATATTAATACATAGTTATTTTTAAGTTAAGGGGTCTAAATACTTCACATGATTCTCACTGTTCATGAAGATCTAGTACAAAAGTGGTAAGAAAACACTGGTGAATAGTAATTCACTAATATTGTTATTGTTTTAATAGCTAACAATCATCACAGATTTACTATGTTTTAGGCACTGTTTTCAATGTTTTTGTGTGTAATTCTTTTAATCTGCACTGCTTTAAAACATTGGTATAACAGAGATTACTAGTTTTCCCCCAATTTCTGTTCTCCCATCTTGCTATAGTGATAAAGTTTTAACAAGGCATGTGGCATCTCTTGAAACTAAATGTGGCCATTGACTAGGTTCTGGTCAATGAGATTGTGAGTGGGAGTGATGTCAGAATTTCTGGTTCATACTTCTAAAGGAAATGAGGACATGTTCCCTTTTTTTCTTATCCTCTTCTCTGGTTAGAATGCAGAAATCCTGGTGGGAGCTGAAGTAGTCATCATGGTTCAGGAGATGGAAGCCACCTTTTGAGAGAGCAGAAGAAAAAGACACAAGAAGTCAAACTCCACAGAATCATGGTGCCACCTTACCAGCCCTGGACTCCTATATTGAAGGGAAGCAAACTTCAATTAATTTAAGTGGCTATTATTTTTGTTCTTATTATTATACAGCAAAACCACTACTGTAACTACTGAAGTTGATGTCATCATTATTCTCATTTTAAAGATGGATAGACTGAGACACACAGAATTTAAGTGATGGAGTGGCAGAGCCAGGTTTGAACTAGAGAATCTGGCTCCAGAGTCTTCCCTGTTAACCACAGCCCTCTATTTTTCTGATAAGATGCCATGCACACTTGTGTTTAATTAATTTTAACATGTGATTTTCTGCCATTTGTGACTTAGGGATGGGAAAGTCAGAAGGTTTTTTTGTTTGTTTTTGTTTTTTAATGCCTTTCCACATTTTGTATCGGTGATCAGGTTGAAATCAATATGGATGTGTCTAGATTCATTCAGGGAAGGATGGTGAGGCTGATAATGGAACCAGAAACAGGGTGGCAGAAGTGATGATGTGCAGAAGATAAGGATGGGGAGGTAATGAAATTAAGATGAGAATGTGACTAAAGAGGGCCAATTTCTGCACAGCTGATATGGAAAGCAAATAACAAGTGTGTGATAAAGCATAAGGAGATAAAGTAAGTATTTTTACATCACTGACCTATATGGCCCCATATCAGGTGCAATCAAGGTTGCCTGGCATCTTGCAGTTGGTCCTACTAGCCAGCAGTTTCCCTGGGACAACAATGATCCTGCAGCCTAAAGGAACACGTAATGTTCTGGAAACTTGAGTTTCAGTGTGACCCTCTCCACAGCAATCTTTTCAGCTTTAGGTCTTCCTGGGAAGCCTCAGAGCAGCATTTCCTGCAGCTTCATTAAAGATACTGTTTCACTCACCTGTCTGTCCTGGCTTCTCCTTCTGTAAGCAGCAAAGGCAGGATAACCCTTGGTATTAGAAAGGTATAATGCTTAAAATTAGAAGACTCTGAAATCATCTCAAATTGACTCCTCACTTTTCATATAGGTTGACCTAAATTTCATGTGAGAAGAGAGATTCTTCCTTTTACCACATAATTTTTGAGCGTGTTCTTCACTTTTCTCTATTTCATTTTCCTTAGGTGTGAACAAAAGACTTGAACTAAGTGAGTGCTGAGGGCATTTACAGGAATAGCCTTCCATGGTTTGCCCTTCTTCATAGCTTTGAATTTCCAAACCACTGAAAAAGAAGTCACAAACCATGCATTTTCTTTAATACATCCTTACTTTTCACTGCCTCAGTCACTTAAATAATGGGAAGTTTTGTGTGTTCATGCCTTTGTCTAAGAAATCATGAAAGAGGAAGTGTCTCATTAGGAAAGGTGACTTGTATTTACTTACACTATGATTAACAAAAAGACAATTCCATCTTTAGGAAAGTGGAGTTGTTCCAGGGAGAACAATGAGAAGATGCATCTGGACTCCACATTTCTGCCTTCTAGGCTTGCTCTCTCATTGAAAGGAGAATTTCCTAACTTCTAACTTCATAAACATTGCTCTAAGAGAGAAGTAGTAATGACCCTCACTGACAAAGAATGCAATGCAATTCAGAATATGCTTGATGCAAATCATCATCAAATTGATAGTGCTTTACACTTGGCAAAGTGTTCTCACAGTACAAGGCCCCCTGCCCAATGTGGGCAAAACACAATGAATAAAATATGATCCCTTCTTAGAAGGGACCTATAATCCAGGGTAGAAAATAGACAAGTGCATAAATAATTCTAACTCAAGACAGGCCCCCCATTTATGCTTTATTAGAGGTACAAAGAAAATAATAGCAGAACAGCAGAGGGAAAGGTGACTTCCCATAGAATTTTAAATGGAGGATTCTTGAAAAAAGTGAGAATTTGTCGAGGCTATTGCTAATAGCAAACATAATTGGTTACTTTACCTATTTCTTTAATTTCTTTCAATTTTTACAATAACCCAAATGAGAAAAGTGCAACATGAAGAAAAAATTTGAAAATGCAGGAAATTTCCTGTCTTGTGTAGACAAGACATTCTTTGGGGTGAATAGCAGCATCAACCCCTTCTACCTAAGGTTGATGCTGCTATTCACCCCAGAGACAACCACAGAGTTGTCTGTGTGAGAAGCATCTAGATTATAGAGCACTTCCTATAATTGGAGAGTGTGCCTGATGACTTCTGATTTGTGGGCACATAAAGGAAATTTTATGCATGCTTCAATCTATATTTTAAGTTTGACCATACCTAACACGCCTATCAACAGTAGTCATTTTAGTATAATGAGAATATGTGAATTTTTTCCTTTTATTTATTTTCAAAATATGATTTAAGGGTATGCCTTTAATAGAAATAGAAAATAATAAAAAGAAATAAGAATAGTGACAGAGTAAAAGCAAGAGAGACATGAAGATGTTTTTCATATATAGGTTTCTTACATTTCATTTTTTTTGTGACTGAATGTATTGCAGTTCTTATTTTGATCCTTGAGAGTGCATATTGTTATTAGCAGACACTGTCAGCTGGTGAAAAGGGCACAGATCCGGAGACTTAGGGAGCTTAGGTTTTAAACCTGGCTCTCTTGTAAAAGAAAAAAGAAACAAAAAAATCATTTGGTAATATGTGCATCCCTCCATCTTTCTTCTTGACTATAGTTCTGTGTTTTTTGAGATGAGTCTCACTCTGTTGCCAGGTTGGAGTGCAGTGATGCGATCTCGGCTCACTGCAACCTCTGCCTCCAAGGTTCAAGTGGTTCTCCTGCCTCTCACCTCGAGTAGCTGCGACTACAGGCGCGGGCCAACATGCCCAGCTAATTTTCATATTTTTAATAGAGACGGGGTTTCACCATGTTGGCCAGGATGGTCTCGATTCCTTTACTTCGTGATCTGCCCACTTTGGCTTCCCAAAGTGTTGGGATTACAGGTGTGAGCCACCGCGCCCGGCCAGTTCTGTGATTTTAATAAGCCTTTAAACCTCAGCCTCAGGTAGCTCTTTTGTTGAGCGGTCATTTCCTCACCATGTGATTGTACAACATTGATAAACATATAATCTGTTATTTATTTTAGCTATTCAAAAAACATTTTTAGGCTCCTCCCGCGAATCGCAGCCCCTGGGACTAGGGTTGCTCCATCTGTGCTCCACCTCGCAATGACTTCCTACAGCTATCTCCAGTCGTCCGCAACCTCGTCCTTCCGGGCCATGCGCTGCAGCTCCGTACATTTTGGGCCGCGCGTCGCGTTTTGCGCGCTCAGCAAGCACCGGGGGTTCCAGCGGCCGCGGCGTGTCTGTGTCCTCCGCCTGCTTCCTGTCCTCGTCCTCCTCGAGGGGCTACGGCGGCGTCCTGGCCGCGTTCAACGGGCTGCTGGCGGGCAAGGAGCTCACCAGGCATAACCTCAAGGACCGCCTGGCCTCCTACCTGGACAAGGTGCGCGCCCTGGCGGCAGCCAACGGCGAACTGGAGATGAAGATCTGCAACTTGTACCAGAAGCAGGGGCCCGGGCCCTTCCGCGACTATAGCCACTACTGCAAGACCATTCAGGACTTGCGGGACAAGGTTCTTGGTGCCACCATTGAGAACTCCAGGATTGTCCGGCAGATCGACAGCGCCCGTCTAGCTGCAGATGACTTGCGAACCAAGTTGGAGACGGAGCAGGCTCTGTGCATGAGCGTGGAGGTCATCAACGGCCTGTGCAGGGTGCTGGACGAACTGACCCTGGCCATGACCGACCTGGAGATGGAGATCGAAGGCCTGAAGGAATAGCTGGCCTACCTATAGAAGAACTATGAAGAGGAAATCAGTGCGCTGAGGGGCTAAGGGGGAGGCCAGGTCAGTATGGAGGTGGATTCGGCTCCGGACACCGATCTCACCAAAATCCTAAGTGACATGCGAAGCCAATAGGAGGTCATGGCCGAGAAGAACTATAAGGATGCTGAAGACTGGTTCACCAGCTGGACTGAATAATTGAACTGGTAGGTCGTGGGCCACATGGAGCAGCTCCAGATGAGCAGTCTGAAGTCGCAGACCTGTGGCACACTCTCCAGGGTCTTGAGATGGAGCTGCAGTCACAGCTGAGCATGAAAGCTGCCTTGGAAGGCACACTGGCAGAAACCAAGGCTCCCTTTGGAGCCCAGCTGGTGCAGATCCAGGCGCTGATCAGCGGTAACGAAGCCCAGCTGGGCGATGTTCGAGCTGATAGAGAGCGGCAGAATCAGGAGTACCAGTGGCTCATGGACATCAAATCGCGGCTGGAGCAGGAGATCACCACCTAACGCAGCTTGCTCAAGGGCCGGGAAGATCACACTACAACAGCCTGTCTGCCTCCAAGGTCCTCTGAAGCTGCAGGCTCTGGGGCTTCTGCTGTCCTTCGGAGGGTGTCTCCTGGGTAGGGGGATGGGAAGGAAGGGACCCTTACCCCTAGCTCTTCCCTGACCTGCCAATAAAATGTTATGGTCCAAGGAATATATATCTATACACACACACACACACACACGTACATATTATATAAAAATATATTATAAAAAAAATATAACATAATATCTATAACACATATAAAATATAAAAACAACACATGATTGTTGTGAAAATGTGGAAAACACAGCAAACGAATCAGAATTTCATAAATATCACCCCTGACTTTACCACCCAGTGAGATCCACATTACTTGCACTTTGTTGAATCTACTTCCCATTTGTTTATCCATTACACGCTAAGAAAGGTAAAAGCAGGGAATCCATCTTTATCCAACTCAGTGATCCTGGTCAGGCAAGGAGGCACTTAACACATGTGTTGAATGTATAGGATATAAGCATGGTTTCCTTATTACCTTTTTTTTTTTGAGATGGAGTCTTGCTCTGTCACCTAGGCTGGAAAGCAGTGGCGTGATATCAACTCACTGCAACCTCCGCCTCCCAGCTTCAAGCAATTCTCCTGCCTCCACCTCCCAGGGAGTAGCTGAGATTACAGGCACACCACCATGCCTAGTTAGTTTCTAAATTTTTAGTAGAGATGGGGGTTTCACCATGTTGGCCAGGCTGGTCTTGAACTCCTGACCTCAGGTGATCCACCCGCCTCGGCCTCCCAAAGAGCTAGGATTATAGGTGTGAGCTGTTGCACCTGGCTGTTTCCTTATTATCTTTTTCAAAACTCTCTTGTGACTCAGGCTTAATTTATTCCATGCCTTAAAAATAGGCCTTCTCAAAAACTTGGTACCTCTTGTTTTTTTTCAGGGCCTGTTCCTGTTTACCCTTTAGTCTCCCAATTATCTTGTGGGGCTTCTAGGACAGACTTCCCCTGCTCTGGTGCATACTTGTAGAATGATAGAGTGGTGGATGTAGACAGGCCCAGGGAATCTTCTGTTCTCTTCTTTAGTTTCCAAGAGGAAAATCCAAGGCATTCAGAGGGAACTAGATCAGAGTTATAGAGAAGGTTCTCAGTGGACACTGGACTCATCTTGAAACTCCTATAGCCCTCACCCCAGAACAGAACATCTGGAACCTGATGATATAGTCAATCTTGAGATATTCCTGTCCTTGTGTAGAGAAGTCAACTAGAGTTTAATTTATATCTCTACTTCAACTTATGAGGCATTACTTTGCTGATACAAGGTCTGATTTAGATTTTGTAGGCTTTCCTCCCCACTAACACTACAAAGAAGAATCCTTAGGGAGTCTCATAACTGTCACATTGGTCTCTGTTGACCTTAAGTTTACTTCTCAGAATACTCTGAAGTGCTTCATTTGCATTCCTTCAGTCTTATTTTTCTGTTTTTAGTATTACATGTTCTGTCATCTATATGCATTTTTTTGAGCATAGCCTTTAACGTAGGAATACAGGAAAGATCTGAAGAAGCCCAGTCAGCAGCCATGTTACATAGTAATTCATGTTAGTGCTTGAAATTATTGTGTCAATTTTAATGGAATTTATATAGTTCTGGAATAAATCTGTGTTGTTTTAGTGCTCAGCTCTACAAAAAACTTCCTGCTTACAATTAATAAGAAACGTTCACGTTATGAGAGATAATCCTCTGAAGTATATTTTCAGTGAGGAAAGGCAGAGGGAGTCCATCTTCCATTCATCCTGAGTCTTCTGTCAATTGCCTCCTGTGAAGACCAGTTGCGCAGTGATCAAGATTGCAGGCTTGATTCTCAAGGCCCAGGAGCAGCTAAGCGCATTAAAACACACACTTTGGGTGCTAAACGAACCAAACTAATTCTGGGAGAGTTTTAGAAACATATCTGCTTTGCAAAGTGCTTCAATCACATGATCTCCCATTTTTGTTTCTTTGTTAGGCTTTTTTGCTTCTGATTATTTAAATCTACAAATCAAGACTATATTTTTATGGTACACAACATGATGTTTTGAAATATATATATAGTGTGAAAGGGCTAAATCAAGCTAATTAACATATGCATTACCCCACATATTTATTAATTTGTGGTGAGAATACTTGAAATTCACTCTCAGCAATTTTCAAGTACACAATACATTGTTATTAATTATAGTCACCATGTTGTACAGTAGCAGCTGCTTCAATAAATGTTGGAAAACTGAATATTTTAGACCCTTATCTCACACTATATACAAAAATTAACTAAAAAATAAAGACTTAAATGTAAGATCCGAAACGGTAAAGCTACTAGGAAAAAAATTATGTTTCTAAGAATTTTTGTTCAATTTTTGTATTACTTTTCAATATGCTGCACTTCCATATGATACGTGCAGATCGTTAGTACTGCATTCAAGTGTCAGGAAATTATAAAGTAGGGGGATATATATTAAGGGCCACATATCTTCAAACACATTATGTCCTTCAAATTACTTCCTCTCAATCCTAGCAATGACCGAAATTAATTTTCATATGTAATGGGCGCTTTAAAAATAAAAGTGATACACAACAAAAGAAAACAAATGGGAAGAATGAGACGATGTCTCTTTTAGCAGCAGTAAGCAGTTGCAACACGACTGTGACCATACAACATCAACTCCAGCAGCTGCCAACTCGCTAGCCAGGCGCGCTGGTGGTAACCAGGCGCGCTGGTGGTAACCAGGCGCGCTGGTGGTCGCCAGGCCCCCCATTGCGCTTGCGCGTAGCGGCAGCGTTCCAAGGAACCCAGGCCGGCCGGGCGCTCTTCCCGTCCCAGTTTATCTAGGACCCTGCGCTCGCGCTGGCGCCGCCCCACCGTAGCTTTCCAGCTTCGCTTTTCAGCCCCTGATGCTCGCTCAGCGAAGTGACAATGGGGAAGGGAGCAAGTGGCAGTGGCGGCGGCAGCCTAAGAGGCAGAAGGGGCGAAAGGGGCGAGGCCTGCGAAAGTTCCCCATGCAAGGAATTCCATTTTATGCCTGCAGACCTTGGGAAACTGGGATTTCACAGGGTGGAACTGCGGGACGCCCTCCTCCCCAAAGCGCGGAGGACAGGAAGCACCAGACACAGGAGGTACCGAGGGCCCATTTCCCGCTAGCCACCGGAGTTCAGTTCCACAGAATTCGAACCCGACTTCCAAGAACCCACCACTGGCCCCTCTGGTTGGTTATTATGATTCACTAATTTTCTGTTTAAAACCTGCAGAATTTTCGCATTGTCGGCACTTCTAAATATGTATGTATATATTTTCCGGTAACGTTATGGAACCTCCATGACCTACCTACCTACCACTCAGCCCCTTATTTGTAGCGTCGTCAAATACAAAATGCTTTAAAATCCTCAAAAACATGGCTGGCTCTTTGAACGCATTTGGGGCATTCCCTTTCTAGTATTGGTGTGTTAGACTTACTGTCAAAAATAGAATTACAGGACCTGGCGCTGTGGCTCACGCCTGTAATCCCAGCACTTTAGGAGGCCAAAGCGGGTGGATCACGAGGTCAAGAGATCGAGAGCATCCTGGTCAACATGATAAAACCCCGTCTCTACTAAAAATACAAAATTTAGCTGGGCATGGTGGCATGTGCCTGTAGTCCCAGCTCCTCGGGAGGCTGATGTGGGAGAATTGCCTGAACCCAGGAGGCAGAGATTGCTGTGAGCCGAGATCGCGCCATTGCACTCCAGCCTGGGTAACAAGAGCAAAACTCCCCCTCAAAAAAAAAAAAAAAAAAAAAAATACAATTACAATGCAGTGTAAAAATATTGGTTATTATTTGGTCTTTTCCCCCCTCAGTAGTATACAGCATGAATCACAGGAGCATAGATCTGGAATTTTAACCTTGTTAATTAACATAATTTCCTCATCACTTCTGTGAGTCATGATCATGTGAAAACTGCTGAGAGTTAGACATGAGGTACAATGCAACACAACTTTTCTAAATGGAGATGCCAATGTCCTGCTTCCCACCCATCCCAATTTCTCTGGTGATTAATAGGTAAGAGTTTAAAAACTTGTAACTATTAGTGACGGGAACTCGCGAAAAAAGTTGCTAATTTGATTTGGTTTGGTGCTTTACCAATTCAACTAATTCGGAAAATAATAATACAGATAATGCTGAAATATAACTTTTGCTGCATACAATAGAAGATTGTGGCCCCGAGTAAGATATTTAAAGAAAGGGCCTGGAGTTTGCAGCTCCCCTCCCTCTCCCTGAAGAGAAGTTCAGCTGAAGGTGTCCCACTGTCTGCCCATCTTAGTAGGTGACATTTGAGGAGGCCCCCTTACAGGGGCTGTGAGATTCCAAGGGACCTCCTGCCTGGGTTAGCTTCCACCTAACAGTCTTTTCACTGTTCAGTGCCCCTTGTAACTTCTCTTGCTGACCATAGAGGGCTTGGCCCATCTTCTCAGGCTTCCTGGAGCAGAAAAGGCATGAATGTTCCAGCTTCTCCTGTCCTATGTCGAAACAACTGTCCTGATATTTTAAATATTTTGAAGACTTCCACCCTCATCATATAAATTATAGAAATTGGAACAATTCTACATACAACTACATCCTTGGGTTTTAATTCTGGCCCCGTCACTTAACAGCTGTGAAAGTTTGGACAAGTTATGAAATCATTTCAAGCCTATTTTCTACATTTGTAAAATGGCAATAGTAACAGTGCCTGTTTCCTAATGTTGTGGTGAAAACTGAATAAGATATTACATGTAAAGCCTTGATACATGAGCTATTAATAAGTATTATTTCCTTTATTTTGTTTTTTACTTCACTTCCTAAAAGCTGTGTTATTTTGGACACAGTTCATTCATGAAATGGGAGGGGCAGGTAATAGTAGAATCTACTGTTGCTGTTGTGAAGATTACATTAATGAGTGAAAAGCATTTAGAACAAGACCTGGCTTATATTAAATGGTAAAGAATGTTAACTAACTTTAATCCATTCATTGATGTTTAGATCTAGACCCTTAATTAATGGTGGACACAGAAGGAACAGAGTCAGTTCTCTTTTCTGTTTTCTATGTGTTCAGTGGGAAAGAAAGGAGCACCCAGACTTCCTTCAAGAACTCCCAGACTGCTGCTTTCTCTTCAGTGTGTACTA